CAATTCGTCGCATCATAGATTTCTTCAACATATGATGACCGCTCTTCGTGGAACTCGTCTCTAGAAGGGGGGATAATGTCACGGCTATAATCATGTAAGCTAATAATTACATATAGAAATAGGTAGAAGTAAGTAAAAGTAGATAAGAGTAAGTTAATTTTATAATATTTAATATGGAAGCTTCTTAGAAGCTTCCTAGACGCTGCTTTGACTTCATAGGTGTCTTTAATTGACTTTTTGGATTAGAAACGTAGTCAACAAGTTGACCATGTGCCACACATGTTGTTAGCTTGAAGATCAAGCTAACTATGTGGCCCACACGTAGAAAAACTTGCCTTGTAAGTCAAGGCATGTGTCCTACAAAGTCAACACATATTGGAGGTCCTATAGAACATCGCCACGTAGCTCCTAGTTAGATAGTATATATAGAGACAAGAGTGAAGGCTTCTTCACTCTTGTCAACTCCTTTCTTGCTTCTAGTCTAGTTTCAAGGGTCTCTAGTTTTCTTGTCTTTTGGCAATAGCCATTCCAGTTTCTCTTTCAATATATATACTTGTTTATATATATTTTGTTACCTCTCTTTGAGTAATGGCTCACTTGTCTGAATTGTTTTTTCATCGAGTTCTTGTCCTTGACAAAAACTTTATATTTTAAAAATATTTTTAAATTTTATTGTAATTAGTTATAATTTTCTTTAAAGACTATCAATTCTTCACTTAAACTACTAAAAATTGTTGTACATACTTCTAAATTTATAAATACATAAAATAATATAAATATTTCTATTTTTATTAAGAAAAATCTCTATAAAATTAACTTTAGTTATTTTTATATAAGTTTATTGACTTTTAGAATAACATGACTAATAAAATAGATATAGTATTATGTTGTTTTGTTAAAATCTTATGTTACAATCAATGTTTTCTTTGTAATATCATTATACTCTTTTAATTATTATAAAAAATTATTAACACTACATCCCTAATTGATATTGCTACACTCCACAAGACCTCTTCATAGACAACTAGCTAATAATATGCATTTTTTGTTTGCACATATTTTCCTTTCTTTGCTTTAAGAAAGAGTGGTGATTGAAAGGAAGACAATGAGTATTTTTTTTTTTAAATAGGTTGTGAGCTATTTTTGATAAAAAAAAATATATTTGCATCAAAAAAAAATTTAATTTAATTTTTATATTTGGTTGCCAAAAAAACAATTATAATATAGATAAGTTTGATTTCTTAATCATTAAAATTCTAATCAATTTGTTATATTGATAGTAAAAGAATCTAATAGTCAATTTTTATTCTTTACACTAAATATTTTAAATATATTATAATAATCATGGCTAAATTTTAAAATTTTAAAAATAGAAAAACTTAATCCTTTGAACAAATTAAAATATATTTTATTAATTTTTTTATACTAGACCGTGAAATTACATTTAAAGACAATGACAAAATTAGCAATGTAAATTACATGAAAGTTATTTTTAAAAATTTTGGTAGTGGTATTCAATACTATTGTAGATTTAATAAAAATTGTTATAAGATTTAAAGTCATTCAATTTATATGGTAAAAGTATGATTATCAAATATTAAAACATAACATATATTTACATGTAAACTTATTGTAATGTACTTTGTCAAAAAAGAAATGAAGTCATGAATATTAGCTTTTATTTTTTTTTGGTATTCTGCAATTATGTAAAAAAAATCTTAAAATCTAATTTTAGGATGAAACTATTAAAAGTTGATCAACAAGTAATCGTTCAAATGTTTTGGAAAAAAATAATCTTATATTAACATAACTATGATAGAAAACTACATTATATTAAATAAAGAAAAAACCTTGTGAAATGTTTCCAATCTTTATCTAATACTATCATCTAGTTATTTGTTAAAAATTGATTCAATATGTAAAGATATAAATTTTAAAAGCAAAAGTTGGACATTCCTTTAATTTTCTGTGTAAATTCACCCAATTTCATTATGTTTTTTACACAAAACAGTTTTATTCAAGGTACGAAATGAATACATGTTTCAATTATATTACAGTGTAGTTATAAATAATTTCTTATCATAGTTAATACAAAGAAGTTAGTTCAGTCAGCTAACATGGTGATAAATTCAAATTTAAATTATATGTTTTATATTAATATTAATTTGATTCTTTTTCTGAAATTATATTTTATTAGTTTGATTTTAGGAAAGGAATTATATAGCTTTAATTAAAGAGTTCGTTTTTTTTTTTAATTTTGAAACTTCAAGTAAATCGTTGGTATATAATTATAAAAAAAACTGCAGTAACAAATGTACATGTGAATTCCATAATTTTCCTTTCAAATTTGAGATCACATGAATAGATTTATTGTAAATTTTAAAATATACATAAACAAAAATTCATATGAGTTGTTGGTTAAATTATTTACTTTGTGATTTTTTAACATTACAAATATTGATTAACAATATTATTTTTACTTAAATATATATATATATATATATATATATATACCTAGTTTTATATAATTTCTTTAATTTCTTTATTGTATTGGGATTTTTCAAATATATTTGTTTGTGATATGTCCTTTTGTTTATGGATGTAAATAACATGTGTAGCAGTACAATGTTAATGATGTATAAAACTAATACTAGTATATAACAATAAGTGTCATGTACACATTTTTTATTCAATACAAGGAATTCTAATATTTCCTAGATACTTATATAAAGCATAGTTTTTAAAAACATGTAATTATTGTAGGTTTTGGTATTATGGGCTTTATTTGTACTGGTCTTTTTATATCTGCCTATTCTTTGAGTTGATCATTATTATTATTATAATTATTATTATCATTATGATTATTTTCTCTTACAAGGTGTTTTAATATCTTTAATATAATATTTTGTATACACTTAGTAAAAATGAAACTTTTGAAATTTAATTTATTGTTCAATTCTACGTTGTTTACATTGTAGACTAAAGGCAAAGTACATTCCTGCTCTCCATTCCTTCTGATATATATATATATATATACAAACATACTCATTGATTACACTACATATGTTTGCTTGGCTCTAGCCTCCAGTGTGAACAGGGCCATGAACCCACGCCTTTTCACTATCAGACGGATTATATCACATTCCCTTGCCACATCAGATGCCACCTAGACTCCCAGCGAAGCACCCGTCGACACGACAGGGCCGGCTACGTTTGCGACCGGTTCATTTTATGACCTATGCAAATTCAAATTTGGACCGGATCCAGCCTGGCAGGTCACCGATTCAGCCGGTAGAAGGCACCGGCTCCTTAAACGGTCCCTGTGGTCGCGTTGGATCAACGCACGAAGACTGGTCATTAATTTCCACGTGAAGAGAACTGTTCCGTTCACACTGCAAGATCCGTCCCATTTTAATTTTCGCCATATTCAATGAATTTACATGGTATGAACCAAAAATAAATATATATATATATATATAACTCGTACTGTGGGTTTGAAAATTCATGATACCTTTTCCTACCACTTCACTTCAAAGCACAATATTGAAGTAAATACGTACATTTAAGATTATTTTTTGTTAATCAACCTACTAAGAGGGCTGTTTTTTTTCCAGCATAAACATTAAAAGCTACGTGTATCGCAATATAGATGATATTGCAACATCCAGTATGGTATGATTTCATAATATGAACGTGTTTCTCAAATAACTATAAAATATTATTATTGTCATACTTCAACATTTTAAGTTACAAAAACGACAAAACCAAAACACATACACAAAAAAATAAAAAATTCAAAAAATCAAAAAAATATTGTTATTGGTTTTTACAGCTAATGTATTTTCGCATTTCTATTTGTTTATACCAATAATGAAGTAATATGTGAAGGAATATTGTGCAATTTTTTATTTCTTTTATTTTTAAACATGATTATTTGTGAACAATAATGCTGTTGTTAATTTCTTTTCCAACAATTTTTAATGAAATGCCTGTTCATTACACAAAATGTCATAAATATAATTTAATTACAACTACTATATTTGAGAGTATGTTTCCATGATATTTACATGTTCTATATTTGTTTTTTTCTAATTCAACTTCTTTTGACTTGTATGGATGAACGTGTATCTGAGACCAATGCTTCTTTCATAAATCCTTGTTATGTTTTTGGCTTGTAGCCTGTATTTTGGGATATATATTACATTGCTTGAATCTATAGTACTACTTTCACCAGTGTTTTCCATGGTTCATAAATCCTACATTCAGAAGGTTATTCATTCACGCTTAAATGATGAAACTACGGTTTTTGGTGACTTTCTTCATTTTTTTATTTTATTTTATTTTATTTTTGTTAAAAAGGAAACACAATCATGTAAAAATCTCAAAAGATATAAAAATGCTTTGTATAATCCATACAAAACATGTTGGGATGCATATTTTATTTGTGGCATTTTAAAACCTTAAGGGATATACATTTCTCATATCACATTATGATTTTCAGAAGTTATTTTGAAGAATAATCATAATTTTGATTTAAATAATAAAATTTGACTTCATGCTGATGCAGAAATTGAGATTTTTATACATTCAAATATTAGCTTAGTTTAAAATACATGCAATAAAATATTTATATTCATGCTAAAACTGATTTTTATATATATTCAATGTGCCATTATATATATAAATATATATTGTACCGAGTAATTAACTTAAATTTAATAATCATTTTTAGTTCACAATGCAAAAATTTATCACCTAACCTTAGAAAATCATAAAGTAAAAGGTAAGCAAGAAACAACTTCCGTCTGGTTTGAGAAGTAACAACCATGAGAGAACCGCTGGATCACAGCAGGACTAGTGCAGAAGAGGGTTTATACAGGTTATCGGAAGGGTGTATGCAGGTTATCGGAGGGTCTCACAAATGCATCTCACGATATCCATCGTTTTCATCACGAAATCAAGGAAGGAATGCCCCGACGGGGGGGGGTGGGGGTGGCTGAGTTTCTGTTTCACAGCAAATAGCAAAGTCTGTGTGGCGTCGTTGCAATTTTTGTCAGAGGAAGTTGCCATTTCCGGCGAGCGAGAGTCGTTCAGTGCCGGGTCCACCAAGGGCTAGGGTTTCCTCGCCAACGGACAGCTTGGACGGGCTCAGCCGGTCGCTGCCGCTGCAAATGGTATGTATGCTCATCAATCATGACGCTGCAATTTCTCGCTGCGCTTAGCTGTGCCATGCGGTAATTCAGAGGCATTCAAACCGAGACTTAGATTATCGACCATGCAATGCGTTTATTCATCGTCCATCTGAATTTTTTCCTGCTGTTCTGAGGATACCATTACAGATTATTCATTCAGTCAGTTTGGGGCCGGATTTGCTTGGCACTTCGCTTCTGGAAACTGAAGCGAGAGGAGCCCGCTGCATTTCGTTGGCTAAGTTGATGTAGGTGATGCCTAGATTGCTGTTGAGAGTGTGTTCATTCGAATACTGATTTTTTCCTGCTGGGTAGTTTGTCTGGAGTTTTCGGGTTTGGGAGCGTAGATTGTGATCAGAGTGCTTGCATAGACCTGGTTGGGGGTTGCTTGGTCGACGGGGATCTCTCCGCGCGTAGAAAGTTCACGTCGTTATAGCTTCTACATTTCGTTGCTGTTGCTCTAGCTTGAGTATGAGCGCATCACCTGCGGGAGATTCGGTTGTGTATCTCGCAGCTGTCTGTACGCTTGTTTGTTTGTTTCTCTATCGAGCTTAGCTGTAGGTTGTCGAGCAAGTGTAGATATTTGGGAGTTAGTTGATTGAGCGGGATAGTTGGGAGAGAGAATTTTACGGGAAGTACATAGCGAAAGGACTTCTGCTGTCCCATTGATTAATAAGAAGTGAAAGTCGCCAGAGGTGTCTGTGCGCGCCGGGAGTTGCATAATAATTCTGTTGCGCCGGAGTGAGAGTTGTTGGCTGGATGCCACAGCCTAAGTCTAACATGGCTACCACGTCCAAGCGACGGGTTTCAAAAGTGAAAGCCAAACCTCCATCCGAAGTTTTTGACGAAGAATATCGACCTCTGGTGTGCCTTCCTGTCTTGCCTTAGCGCTTGAGCTTGCTGCATCGAGAGCAATTGACTTATTTTTTCTTCCTGATATGTTCTTCATTGTCGAGTACCGTTCTCGTTTGCCTTCTTTTATTGGTCAGCATTAACTTACACTGTAGAATGACTATCGATGCTGGTCAGAACGCATTTTCCTGTTGATTTTCTAGTAGCTCACGCTGGTATGGTTCTCTGCGCATTTGAAATCGGTATTGAATTAGTTGTCCTTGTTAATATTGCAGGGAACTCTTTGGAAGGAAGCTTTTCCAGTGGGCACAGAGTGGGACCAGTACGATCATGTTTACGAGATTGATTGGGATTTTTCAAACCTGGAGGTAAACGCTTCCACTTCTCGTCTTTTTTCATACGGACAATGTTAAGTACCTGTGCTTATTCTTTAGTAAATAATGGTGAATTTGTAGCTTCTCTCCCTTATGGTATGTAGCCTCACTATCGCCTGGTGGTTCTTCTACTGTATGAGGCACTTAGACGAAGTATTTATATCATGCTCAGCGACGAGGAGTTAATCCCGCCACTTCTTCCCTGCGCGAATGAAACCAGTTTCTATGAACTGGATTCCTTTGGCATGGTTCCGCTCTGTTTCCTCCATGAAATCAAACTGTCTTAAGGTGTCATAGCATTACATTTTGAACCTCTGAATCTGTGAAACATTATTAAAAGTAATCCTCAACATCATCGTTGTAAAAATATTACTACTTGGAGGATGAAATATCTTTCGAAGTCTCAGGCCGAGCAGCCCAGACTATGGGCTACGACTGCTATTACTTAATCTCTTCATCAGTAACTTGGATCTGCCTTGTCTGTCTTGTAAATGGTGGCGCGTCAAATGACCAATTACCACAGGAGTAGGAAATGGAGTATGGTTTTATGAATGTGTACACTGTTTCTTTGAATGCCTCGCAAAACTGAAATTACTATTTTCTCAAAATGTGAAGCTTCCCGTGAACTGTGGTGCAGAGTGAGTTTGAAGAAGGAGGAAAATTATACGGCAAACGTGTGTATCTTTTTGGATGCACAGAGCGTAAGTATCTCACTCGATGTTTTAGTAGTGGCCAATCCCTGTCCTATGTTTCTGAGTGTTGTTGATGGATATTCGTGTCTGACCAGTGACGAGGATGGTGTAGATTTCGTTAAATTATATTTGGGAAGTGTATTTGTTCAACTGTGAGGCTCTGTCCTCCGTCTATGGACAAATTTCCTTTTTTGGATCTTCGAATAACTGTTGATTGCTCTAATGATATGTTCACTTCATCGGACCTCAGAGTATCCTGTCGAGTTTTTCCCTTAATTCTTACCATTATTTTTTGACTGTGGCTTCAGCGCAACTGGTGCATTTCACCGAGAACTCAAGAGTCATTCATATTCCTGCTGTTGTCGCGGTACCTATCTCAACCATGCCTCCGAGTTGGTGCAACTGCGTTGTATCCTTACATTACGCTAACTTTACATGAATACATGTAGCTACGCCCGGTTACTTAATTCTATCAACAGTATCTTTACATCGTTTTTTTGAAATAACGACGTGTGTGTAAGATAACCAATAAGTAGAGTTTGTACATCTGCAGGTAACATCCCCGTTTCCTCCTTCCGACAAGATAGGCATTAAGTCTGTGCAGAGAGAAGAGGAGCTTATAGTGCCAATGAAAGAGATGAAAATGGACTGGGCTCCATTTATCCCACCTGATGTGATGGAGTGAGTGGTTTTACTTCGCGTCCTTTCCTTTTTTGGCTTTTATGGTTGCCTCAGCGTGTGCGCAGATAAGCCTTAGTTGTCAAATGTTTAAGTTCTATTACTTGGATGCAGTAATTGTGTCTCGTTCACTTATATTATTATACGTGTTGCAGCGTACGTGCAGTTGAGCGGGTTAGGACAAAAATTTTCACCTTAAAGTGCACTCAAAGAAGGTGAGTTTCTTCTGTACAGTGGATCACCTTTAGTTGTACTTCCGAACTGGGACATTTGCAGATGTTTGTCCATATGCTGTGGAGTATATTAGCTTGATTCTGTGTATGACATTGCAGGGCTGCTCTGAAGCAGTTGAAGCAAGAGAGGATAAAGAAGTACGAGTACTGCCTTCCTTGTAAGTAATGCCGGATAACTGTGATGAAATGAAGAGATATAATGGATTTTTACGATAAGTGTGTCGAAGCTTCCCATCACGTATTAATTTTTAGGCACCGTGTGTAATGTAAGGTGAATTTTAGTTTGTGGGTTCTGGTTTCAGGTGTGTTAGATATTGGTATCCAAAAGTGGATTAGGGAAGAATTGTAACTTGACTGTTCATGATTTCCAGATATTTATTCACCTATGAAGGAGGACGAAACAGTGGATGAGACTGTTGTGAACATCATGTACCCTTTCGAAGACGAGAGCAAACCTCCGGTACTTTCATTATTCCTTTTTGCTTTTTCTTTAGCCCGAAAACATAAGCTTTGTCGATGAATAAGCATTTGATTTAAATGCCATCAGACAGATTGTCAATCCAGTTTCATTAACCAGTTATAAGTGGCTTAAACACTTTTTGGTGAGCGACTGTGTGGTTCTTTTTATCACCTAAGGACAGTAAAGAAGCTGGTTGTTTGACACTGGGTATTCTGTTCAACCTTTGTCGCTTCATACGCCAGGTGGTCTGCGAGTATGATTGGCAATTCGACGAGTTCGATGTAAGATTAATCACTTCCGTTTTCCATGTCCTACTGAGGAGTCTTTTGTTTCATCAGTGACGTTTTGAGAATTACACGTTATTGAGTTGTAACTTCAAACTTCGATACTGGTTGGTCCAGTGGACTGAACCTGTTTGTGTTCAATATTGAAGGAGTTCGTCGACAACCTTATCGCCGAAGAGGAATTGCCTGCCGATGAGCGTAAGAAGTTTATGGTATGTAGCCATGTTATCTTTTCATGTTTCCCTCGATTCGTCAACATAGAATTCTTATTCCAATCTATCATTTATTATTGTGATGTTGCTTGACTCCAAAATATCACATGTTTTTCCTGTTCTGTGGATTTGTATAGGATTTTCTGAAGGAACTTGTTGGGAAGGAGAAGAAAAAAGTTCGAGAGGCCAAATCGGCACGTAAAAAGGCACTGGAAGACATGAGCAAAGATTTGTTAGAGGGATTTCAGAATATGAAATTTTACAAGTTTTATCCTGTCAAGAGCGACAAGTACCCCGATATATCAGAGATGAAGGTACGTTCATGATTATGCTTACAGTTACTTTCCATAGGCTATGTACGAACCAACCTTTTGGGAGAAAGGGTACAAGGTATGTGTAGTAACTGTCTTTGTGTAACCCCTAGCATTTAATGATTCTACTGTAGTAAAAAACGATGTTCATGTTTATCTGTTTGTGACGGAATTGGAATTCAGGGACTTTATAGATGAATATTTCATTTTGAAATGGTTTCTCTGGTTAGAGCAGACTTTCGGATTACTTCGAAATAATAAGTCTTCTGCAATGGCTAAATGGTTTTAATGTAAGTCTGGGATTAACTTTTTCCATTGGTCGTGTTGCAGAGCGCTTTTATCAATAGATATTACGGTAGGGCCACGGAGGTCTTGTAGTCTGCACTGAAAGTTTTACAGTCGGCTACATCACGCCACTCGTCCTCTGCAAGGACCACTTCGTAGTTTGGTTCTTGCATGCTGAACAACCCCTTCATTTTTTTTGTAGTTTTTATCCCGGAGTCCAACGCACTCCTTGATTTGATACCTCCCCAATTTTTGTTTAGTGTAGTTGTGTTGTGGGCCTGTATGTGCCTTAATGCATGTAATTCTTCCTAGCCGTGGATGATTGCCTGGTCATCCCAGCTTTACTCTATCTTGGAGTAGCGCACACGAGTTTCGTAAAATGCTCATGTACTTGCGTGAGAAAAAAAAATAGTCCCGGCCAATTTTCTTTAATAAAGAAAATGAGACTTTGATTTCAGTTCGTCTCCTATGCACTTATTACTCAATTATTTGTAGGAATTTCCAATTCGATGACGTGACCTAAATCTGATATATCCAAATTAAGTGAATTTCCTCCTGGTAGTGTTGTACCCTATTAAGTTCGAAATGCCCTCAGAAATTCCTATAAATTTGAATCGTCGTTAGAAGCCATGCTGTTTCCACCGTTTCCCAACCAAGGCCAATTGTACAACTGGCGCTTGTAAGCTGATGGGGCAGCCTACTTCTGTCACGGCGAATTGTTGACACTTGGCTCAAATGCTGCCATGCCGTGCCAAGTGCTCAGCTAACCCATATGCAAACCTTGCATTGATTTGTCTAACTTATTCTTACTGGCGGTTGTGCTATTATTCTCCTTCGGCACAAGGTGAAGCTAGCGGTGGGAGTAGACAGAGATTAGGTTCGTCAGTGTTTATTTAAACTTCTTCCGCTTCAGATTTTAACTCAGATCCGTTTGCGAAAGTAGCATAACGTTTTGATTAACTTTGAGTTTGATCAGCCACATTTAGGGAATCAGAGTTTTGTGAAGCAGATAGAGAAATGGAGAAGGCTCAGACCGGTGCGGAACGCCATGCCTACAGGTGTGTACCCTCAATCTAAAGCTGTGTATCTTTAATGTTGAAATGGAGGTCTTTTTGTTAAAACTTAGAGTCTCACTTTGCGTGGAAATTTTCTGAAAATGCACGCAGTATCATTACTAGATGTTTTCAGTACCCGAACGATTGCTGATTAGCCTTGAGTTTTCCTTGCAGTCGTGGTCGTTGCCTCTAAAGAATTCCTTGAATTGGAAATAAGAGTTTTCAAGTGACAGTGAGTTGGGTGAGGTGGGTTTGATTTAGGGATGACATGGAAGATTCATACGGTGCGGGGTACACAACACGCTCTTCAGATGAAGGCTATGGCGAAAGATGTGGCGAAAGGTATAGCGAGGCTGTGAAGGCAGTTCTAGACAAGAAGGCGCAGAAGGAAGATCATGTGGGGGAGATGCAGAGTGGCATGACTGCTAACCGAGACCTATCTGCGGACGCAGGTAATTGCAACAGCACTTGTCAATCACCCGCATTAGACAATCACTTTGTTTGCAAGAGCACATCGTTTTTTTTTTTTTTTTTTTTGCCAATTGTTTAGGCCTGACTTGTGTAACCTAGTCCCGATCGACAATCTCGAGTTCAGCTCCGCGTATGAAAGGTTCTGTAAAGTTGACTACCATGTATTTTGCTACAGGTGTGCACCCCGAGTATAATCGGTCGCAAGGCTCTCACGTCGCCCAGAAGGAAGATTCACGCCACGCTACCAACGACCAATTTGAAGACGCTTCCACTGGGAAAAGTCGAGCAGTTTAGCTTGGTAGCCGTGGAGGAGCTGCATCTTAGAATCACACAATGGGTTTTAGTTAGTAGGAACTGGGGTCGTTTGAGTTACCGGAATGGCTGTGTGTTTTAATTAGGATGCGAAATCTTAAAGGAAATAAGCAATTCTCTAGAGTGGCGACATCCAGTTCCGAGGTGCAAGAGTTCTGTGAATAATAGTGGGCATTGTAGCTTCTTTTCATGTCATTCAATAGGATGTAAACAGACAACCCATATTTCTGTAATCAGTGGCGAGTTTTTGGACTCACAATCTGAAAGATTCTCAAGCGTGTCAACACTAACTGTTCAATGCAGATGCGTTGTGTCTGAAACACGAGGATGGCTTGTGCGGATGTGACCATCGCAGCAAAATTTGCATCAGCAACCCAACTACCAACTTCCTCCACCAACAGTTCACACAATCAGTACCATCTCAAAACTGACAACATATATATATATATATATATATTTAGTGTTACAGTCTCTCACACCCATTATCAAATTTTCCACTGTTTCAAACAGCGTCAGTTCCTCTGGTCTGTGTCTGTGGACCCATCTCCGCTGCTTTGAACAAATAACATTTACAAAACACACCATCTCCCAAATGTCAAAGAATCCAGATCCACAAACGAAAAGCTCTTATTTATCAACTTTAGTGACTGCAAATTTAGGAATTATAAATGTGTCTCAATAGAAGCATGCCACCTACAAAGCCCCACACCGCCTAAAAATACTGATGATCTCAGTGACTATAGTCATTCTAGGAACTGTAGCAAGCATTGGATACTGTGAGACAACGAGAACAGGGACAGAAGGTTCTAGTAAGAGATGCTTGAAAGGGAGAGATGGTAGTGGAGTTGCAGTTCTGACCTGTGATGGTGAGCAAAAAGCATGGGCAAAAGCAAGCAAGCAAGCAGAACAAAACAAAACAAGTGCATGCATCCTCAGACAACTTGGATCCATCGTTGACTCTGTTTCAAATGTTTTTTGGATGCTCTTATCTTTTATCTGCAATAGAGTTTCAAAAGAATATATATATATATATATATATAATTTATTATTGATTTTAGGGTGCCATGGGTCTTGTCTGTCTGACAGACATGGAAGTGGCTGCAATAAGTTTGATAGATCCAATTTTGCATTGATTTTGAGGGGTAATGGATTGAATGGATGTGACCTTGTGAAGGACGTGCAATGGGCAACAACAGCTCACATGTGTCAATGTGCATCACAATTAGTATCTATTGAAATTATTTCAAGGGGTATGTGTGAGTGTGTGTCTTAATAATGGATGCATTTCCCACTCATACTAATCAATGCATTGCAAATGTTCTGTTTGTGTCAAAACAAAAGATATAAATTCTTTGATCATTGTTTGAATTATTTGTGTGCAAATATATATATCTATATATATCCGTTTTGAATTCACATGGTTCTTTAAATCCAAATTTTAAAATAACTTCAGGTTGTGGGTAGAAAAAGTGAGAGTCATTTTTTTATTGAATTTAAGTCATATTTCCTTGTGTCTTAGATGTTTTAAAAACCTTAAAATAAAATCTTGGTGCTTTGATCTACAACCAAGATATTAAAATAAAAAATAATCATACTTCTTAAAAAATATCATATCATATTCTAGGTTGAAGATCGCAACTTTTAAGAGAACAATAGTACATTTTTCAACTCATAACTATTTATTTATTAAATCCTAAAGTTTTTTAGTGAATTAAATTTAGTAATTATTTGAAGAATTAAAATTGAAAAAAAAAAAAAACATTTAGTAAGAAAAGTCCTTCTAATAACAATTGTTGTTTAGCTGCAAAGTATCTGAGATTAATTTGACATACCACATTACTAAAATCAATTCAAAATCACAAAGATTTAAATAAAAAATATTTTTATGTCTAGATGAAAAACTAAATAGAAGTTTGTAAAGGGATTTTATTTTATTTTTTATTTTTTTTATAGATTGATTTTTAAGAACTAAAGTTCTACAACCTTACCATATTGTTTTCTGTAATCACTTCTTTATTTAAATGAGCCACAAGCATCATAATCAATTGATTCTATGTGTTGGAATAATTTAAAAATAATATTCATAACTTATATAAATTTTTCACAATATATATATATATATATATATATATATATATATTAGGATTTAAAAATATAAGTTTTTAAAATTTATAAATTATTTATTTTATGATTATGATATCCAATTTTCAATTTTTTAATTTTCTGATTTAAAATAAAATATTTTAGAAATTTAGATAGAAAAGATTTTATAACCTAGTTGTTGTTATCTAAAAGATATTTAAATTATTTATAGAAAGAACTCAATATTAATACAAAATTTATATTTATTTCTTTTAATAGCCTCAAAAGAATCTGAAATAAAACATGTAATGTGGCTTTCTTTAAAAGATGTACAATTAAAAGAAAAATAAAATAAAAAATCAACTAAGTAAGAATCTCAATTATAAAAGCTTGGATTCTTTTAAAACTATCCATTTAATTCATCTTATCTATTTTTTTTTCCTTGAATTCTTATATACCATAATTTTTTTTTTCTATTTTTCATAAATTATTTAATAATAATTTAAAAAATTGCATTTTAAATTTTGGTTATATTCACTATCAAAATTATGGAAATGGTTTATTAGATTTCAAATAGAAAATTTAAATAAATTATGCAACAAGTACAACATATTTAATACAATAATAGAAAATATTCATTACAAACATTATATTTCTTGATTAAGATATTAACAAAATTTTATAAGTTTAATTAACAATAATATTTCTTAATCAAAACCAAGCTGTTTATAAATAAATTAAAATTATGTTATAAAGTTAAATTTAATGAAGAAATCTATATATATATTATTGAGATGTATTTTAGAAATAAAAAAAGATGATCAAACTATTTTACTAACTTTCCATTTCTTTTATTGTCAAAGCAATTTGATTTTTTATTTTTAACCTAATAATTTATAAATAAAATATTTTTGTAGACTTTCTTAAACTTCAATTTTAGGTTAAATTATTACATATATCACACTTATCATAATACTTGTCATGGCTTTCATTTGTTTTAATTTAAATAAATCCATCTAATTATTAAAAATAACCTTATTATAAAAGATGATTTTTATAATTATACTATTTTTAGTCTATAATATTAAATTTAATAATCTAAATATTGATTTTAATAATATTTTAAAATCTCAAAACCAAATTAAGAGATTGGATGTGATTATTTAATTAATTTTTTTTCCTAGTCGTTGATTAAATAGACATTCATATATTCTTAAATAGAAATGAATAGATAACCTTCATTCTAAGGATTTTTTAACAAAATTTTGATGTTTTAAAGATTTATAGAGATTCAATATTGAATATTTTTATAGATCATGTAATTAAAAGAGTAGATAAAATCACAAACATACAATAAAGTGCAGATTTAAGGACCTTCTAAAACTTTTTAGTTACATTTATTATTCTTTTTGTAGATCTTTGAAAACCTACAGAAGTTTTAATTTATTAATACACATCTAAAGTTTCTATAGTCTATTGTAAATAATGTTGTTATATGGATCAAAAACATTGAATATGTATATATAATAATATTATTAATAATAATAATCAAAAGTCCTTGATGTTTTTGTAGTTGTATTAAAGATGCTAGCATTGGCTTCCTATTAAGCATATTGGTGGTATCCTTGCCTTGATAGGCTTCACATTGGTAAGTAAGATGTATGATCTTTTAATTCTTTAATTTAATATGTACTATGACATTTTTAAAAGTAGCTTCAGGATGTTTTCTATTAATATTAGTCTTTCCAATAAAAAAAATATTTAAGTATATGTATTAACTCTACTTCCACTATTCCTTCATCAATGTTGATCACTATAAATTTTTGTGCACTTTTCAAGAGCTTGGTGTCGCAAAAACACTTATTGATTGTTGATGACAAGATTTTATCTCAAGCTATTAGTAACCAATGGATTGCTGTTAATTAGTCAATCTTATGTAAATTAAATTATTTGTGCTTGTGGATATTTATTAATATAAATATCAAAAAAATTCTTCAAAAGAACACTTATCCTAACATCTATAGGTTTTATCTTAGAAGTTGAATTTGAAAGAAATACTCAAATTTTGGTGCTAAGAATTGATTAACCATATGTAATGTATAAAGATACATTATTCATTAGTAAGATGATTAGTTGATTTGTTCTAACTGTCTTTGCATTAAGTTTTTTAAGCTTTTATTGAAAAAATTCCAATCACATAAGGTTTTTAATTAGAATGATAACACAACTTAAGTTATTTGTAGCAATTATAATTGTGATTTGTAATTTATATTTGTATTTTATTTTTTAAAAATCTGCAATCAATTACTAAATAATTATTTTGTTTAATACTATATTGTAAAAAAGTCTTGTTACATCAATATTATATATAGATTTAGGTTATAATCACATCCTAATTGCTACACATACATTTCATATTGATATATATACACCCAAAAAATTAGAGGCTTTTAATTGAATAGGTGTTGTTATGTAGTTCCAATCACTTAATGTAACTATAACAAGATTGTAGGAGGAAAAAGATAGAATAACTTCCTTTTTGGTGATCCCTCTAATTGGTCAATAAGTATGATCAAGAGAAAATGCTTCTTATAGGGGCTATTGAGAGCAAAGTCTTTGAAAAAATATTTTAAATTTACACTTTGTTCCAACAATTGTTTTGCTAATTTTCAAAAGTCATCATGTACTTTACATCATAGATTAGAAGTTCGTGATTTTGGTGTATTTATCCATGATAGTGTTAGTCAATTTCTTGATGGCTTTATTAATGTTAACCAAAAGTATATTTTTATGTAGTAACATGACTATATGGTAAAAAATAAAAACATGGATGTTATTATAAAAGAGCCTAGTAGGAAGATGTGGTAGAAAAACAAGAATAAATGATAGGAAGGTAATAAAAAGTTTAGTCTTAATGCTGCCTTTTAGAGAAGGGACTTCTATTTGCTATGTAGGGATATAAATACCTCAAATCAAAGTAAATGAAATAAGTGATTGATATAGACATGTTTGGAAGGGAGTTATTAATAAGTTCAAGAAAAAATTACGTCAAATTATCAAATATTGATACTTGGAGAGGACCAATTGTCAACTTGGATTGAAATCAGATCCTGATATATAAAACTGCATATCTACAGCAACTTTAGGGTTTTTTTGTAGATTCGAGAGTGAAATTTGAGAGTAGACTTGCAGAGATATTTTT